AGACCGCAAGAACTACACGACGAGTGACATTACGTTCGGCTTCATAGCCATCAACTTAACTGATCCGACAATTCTGGGCAAAGACATCAAACAGTCGCCCACCATATGGTCGCGCCCTATGCCGCTGGCCTGGTATTTCAAGACACAGTGGGAACGGGAGTACGGAAACAACGGGCGCTGGAAAGAGTACTTCTGTCTCGATTGGTTCCAACAGGAGTCGTACGCCGACCGGTTCGCCCAAGTGGTGTCCCGGTGCCCCTGTACTCTACAACAGGCCGAGCTGGACAGGGGTCGCTTCTCGCCCGACCTCGAGTGCAATGTCATTGACCGCAATTGCGATACTTTCCACAGAGGGGCCGAACACTGCCTCAAGACTGGACGGCCGTCGTTAGTATATGCAGTCATTTGAATGACTTTCACACAAAACTCATTGAAAATCTGTTTAAACCGTTAGAATCGGTGGTTCCGGACAGACCTGTTGTTACGACGACTACAGCGAGCTTTTACAGACCGCTGACACTATGTATGGCGGCAGACCCTCCCGGGCCCATATTTATGGCAAACATCCCTTTAAGAAGCAAATGATGGTATGTTATATTTATATACATATTTATATCGACTATGAGTAACCGCAAGCTCCCTGTCCACCACAGATCCCAGCGCTGTCCGAATGGCTTCACGACACAATGCCCTTCTTCTTCTGCTGCAAATGGCAGGGCGAGGAGGACAACACCGACACGTGTCAGATGTATAACTACTGGCGCACATCGCAAGACTGCTCCTCATACCAGGCGCCGGCCATCGGCTCCGTGTACGGCGACCCACACTTCATAACCTTTGACCGATACAACTACACGATCAACGTTAAAGGGGAGTACACTCTGGTGCACGTGGACAACGCCATTCACAAACTAGGTAGGTCATTCCCCACTCAAACACTGTGCAAGTCTAAAACATATTTCTACACCAGTCAATTTGTATACTAATCGTATGTCTAAACTATTTGTCTACCCCGACCCCCTATGCAGACGTCCAGGCCCGTTTTGAGCAGGTGCCCCGTAATAGGCGGACTGACCCCCCGCTCAACGCCACGACACTGATGGCAGTGGCCGCGCGCGACAATATCTCCTCTATAGTGGAGTTCCGGTTGAGACCAGTAGCCGCTCGTCGGCGGTACCAGATGTACGTCATTGTGGACAAGGAGTATGTGTTTTGGTGGGACGAGTCCATGAGATTGCAGAACTTTAAGGGCGTGACCCTCTACCAGCCCGCGGGCATACAGAATATGTCGCACGTGATCGCTATGTTTGACTCCGGGGCCGGTGTGGAAGTGATGACCGATGGCGGACACCTCACTGTCCACGTGTATATGCCCTATACGTTCCTGGTCAGTTATGATTCATGCGCTAAATATCTGTGCAACAATTGTTTGTTAAGGTTAGGGGTGTGTGGGTGTGGGGTATGCGACTATAGGATGATAATGAACTTTATGACAGCAAAATGCAATCAATAATTGTTTTGTTAGCAAAATAAAGAGATTTCTAGAGAAATGCAATGAAGTCTGTAATCAGTATTCGTATAGAAATGGAGTGCAAATCAAATGAAAGGGTATTAAGAGATTTGCATTGAGAATAAAAGTGTAAAAAAGCACTTTAAGTGCATAATAGCATAAGCATAATATCTCTCAAACTTATCACTAAATACAATGCAAGCAACATTGAAATCAGTATTTGTTGCACCGATACGTCCATCATATCATAAATGAAGTATTTATCAAATATTAACAATAATTTATCAATTTATTGATGCCTATGAACGTATAGAACGGGACGGGAGGGCTGTTAGGTTTATATTCGCGTGACATCCGGGACGACTTTACGCTGCCTAATGGGCAACAGATATCACTGCAGAGCACTCAGGAGGACATCCATTTTCGGTTCGGGAAGGCGTGGCGAGTGCAGGAACGGGTGGCTATCGGCGACCCCAATCA